ATTGATTTCATTCCCTCCCGCCGCCCTTGCAGGTAATTTCACACACAGGCGGCAGCTCACACCTGGCTGTCCACCAGGACCGCCTGTCAGCGCAGCCTGGTCGCGCTTTCTCCGGGTGTCACTGGACAATTCGGCGTGCGGTGGGTACGTCAGCTTCGTCAGGGGGGCGGGCAAGCTCCCTCCAGTCCCATCCCAAAGATCCTGGGGAGACTTGAGTGCTCTCACAGTTTTCCACTTTCTTCTCTTGTCTCTGTGGCGTGGAACCCACCCAGACATTCCACCAGAGGAATTCCAACAAGAACTCTCCCCAGATCTATCACCCAAAACAGACTGACTGTCTGACACAGCTATTTTTACACCTTTTAGAGTCCCTCTTTGCATTGCTGACTGCAAGAAAGCTAATTAATTATTTTAGACACCACTATTAACTTGACACAGTGATTAATCTGATAATCCTTTTTATGAAATTACCTCTGAAATGCTAACTTTTCATCTTTGAAACTCACTGTGTAAATTACTCTGAAGATTACATTGTAGCAGCTTTTGTTTCTGTAAATCTTCATGGCAGTTTTTTGCCAAAAGCAATAAAAGCTGTCCTGAATTGATCAGGTCAATCAGGAAAGAGGCAGGCAGGCAGGAAATTGAAGGTGACTCACGCTGCAAGTGGGGGCTTTGACTGACGGATTGTTAGAACCTGCTGCTGCCAGTTAGCTACAGGGGGCTTTGCACCGATGAGAGGAGCCTCATGAGGCCTCATGAAGCAGAGAGGGACACGCTGGGCTGCTGACGTCAATGAGCCCCGACTGGGAGGCTAGTGTGGCTCTAAGAGGTGCTCCTGCACCCCCTGCGCTTGCTACCCCCACACCTCGATCCTATGCATCAGCTGAGTCTGTCAGTGGTGGAGGCCTCCCAGCAGGTCCCCTTTGGGTTTGAAGCTCCCAGAGCACAGCCTCATTCCCACCCACCCCCAGCAATCCTCTAACACCCTCATTATGGGGTGGGGGCAGGGAGCACAGCTGAGCTATTGCCCTCCACCCTGCTTTGCCCAGTGCGCGGGTTCTTGGCCCTCAGGGCGGCTTCAATCATGCAGTCAGGGTTGTGGCATAGAAGGAATCTTTAAAGGTGGTTGGGGCCCCTGGGGCCTGGTAAAACAGTGGGCCCAGTGCCTCGCTCACACCATCCTTGCTCTGGCTCTGCCTCATCCAGAAGGTGACATGTGAGGAGAACAAAAGGAGGTGAGATTGAGGCTTTGTGGACACTGGAGGAGGAGCCTTCGAGGGCCAGGGGCCGAGACGGGGCATGGAGGCAAGAAGGCGCGGCTGCTGGAATAGAGTGTCAGGAACAGTTGCAGGATTGAAGGTCTGAGGACTTTGGGCACCACGGCCATGGAAAAAACTGAGCAAACTTGGCATTTCTGGATGTTTTGCGAAGGAAAAGCGTGTCTCTGCACTGTTCCTGATCGTGCCTCCCACCCCTGGGTTCTTTGCTGAAGGCCTCTCCCGGGTAGACAACAGCATCCAACAGATGGAGGGTGTGGGCTGAGCATGTGGGTGAGCCCAGGGCTGGGAAGTCCTGGGTCCTGAAGTCCCAACACCTGGATTCCCCACAGGACTGGGGCCACTGAGGTTTGGGGCCACCTCTCTGCAGCTTCCACCAAGGGCAGCCACCCCGCTGCTCTCTGGGCTGAGCTGCCCCAGGTTCTTTATGCTTTTTGGGGACAGGACGCTTAGCACACCCCGCTCTCTGTCCCAGGTGCTCTCTCCTTGCAGCACCACAGGTGAGGGTCAAACAAGGAGAGAAAGGCCTCTCGTGGGAGCTGCTGGGCCCGTCTCTGATGGGATGAGCTTCTGAGGAACCCAGTACAAAGACTTGAAAGCACAAGAGTTTTCTGATGCCCTATGGTTGCTCCTGAGAGAAGACCCCAGTGGCGGGGGGTGGGGGGGGGCACCCTGACTGACCTCCACACCCATGGACAAGGGTCATTCTGTTATCTATCCCACTCGACTTTCCAGCCTCCCCCTTCAGGAGCCACATTGAGGGGTCCGCCTTCCAGGGGTCTGAAGGAGGAAGGCCACCCAAAGTTGGTGATTCAGACAAAACCTCTCTTTGGGCCGATGGCTACCCCAGGGCTAAGTGCCCCAAGAAAGGGCTTCTGGAAAGGGCCGGCCAGGTGAGGGGCTGGGGAGCCCTGAGGGCGCTGGCATCTCTGTTTCCTGCTCCGTGGGTGTGAGGACTAAGCTCTGGGAAGACAGTTGTCGCAACAGCGTGTGTGGCTGCATTTTCTGTGTGTCCCACCCTCCTGTTCATCTGCCACTCCACTAAGGGGGCTCTGCTCCCCTCCCCGCTGCCAGGCCCACCTCGTGGCCCCCACCTGTGTGTGGAGGGGCTTCCTCCCTGTTGCTTTTCTAGTGAGTCCTTTCTTCCCCCTGGGTCACACTCACCCATCCCAGCGAGCTCAGCCGACGGCCCTCTGGGTTGCCATGGCAACAGAGCATCCTTCCTGCCTCCCTCCTAGCTGTTTACCTTGGTCAGGGGCTGCGGCAAAAACCAGCCAGTCACTGAAGGAGAGAGGGAGGAGGGGCAGCCAGCTGCTCTAAACCAGATCATTCCGGTTCAGGGAGGCTCCCCCTCCCCTCCTGAGCCTCTCTGGCTAGGCGTGGTGGGCTGTGGAGCCAGGCTCGGGGGTCCGGAGCAGCAATCGTGGGGCCCCCTCCCCGAGAAGCCACTCAGATGAGCCACTCCCGCCCTCCTCCTACCCTGCTGAGCCAGCAAGGCTTTCCTTGCTGTGGCCCCAGATTTCTAGGCCCCTGCAGGGATGGGACGACCTGCTGCGGGTGAGGAGTGGTGGGAGCTGATGGCCAGCCTGCCCTGCGCCCTGACCACCAGGTCTTCTGGGGGCCCTGCTTCCTGCTCCCCACTCGCTCTCTGCAGCAGCCCGCAGGGGTGTCTGTTCTCTGGTTTCGAGCTTCCCACTGCTCTTAGAATAAAAGTCAGACCACCTGCCCAGCTCTTCCTGATCTGTGTGGCTTGTCTCCCTTCCTCATCCTCCCAGCTCTCTCCTCCCCTGGGGCTCCTCTTGCTCCTGCCACGTGGCTGCTTCTGCTTCCAGGAGACAATGGGAGCTGGGTTTTGTTCCTGTCCAGAATGCCACATCCCTGATGGAACAGCGTTCCTCCTCAGGCACACACACTTTCCATTGTAGCTCCCCCTGCACATTCACCGCGTCCTCTGAGAGGCTTTCCCAAACTCTTCAAGGGCAAGTGTCAGAATTCCTCACATTAGCCTCTTGCTCCTCCCCAGACCACAGCTTCGCTGACAGCAAGGCGGTGCTCGGGTATACCAGATGCACAGCACACTGGGCCCTCGGGTAGTAAGTGCCCCCAGCTGGCCGCCCCACCTCTCTGGGGGGCAGGCAGGTGGAGCCCTCCCCTCCCTGCTAAGGGGGAGTTGGGCTCCCCAGTAGGGCTCTCCCACCCTGAATGCCAGTGCCAGGCCATCCTGCTGCAGTGGGAGGAACACACTTTGCCAGCCATCGCTGTGTGCACCAGGTGTCCAGCTCCTGGGCCCTCACTCCAGGACCCGGCACCTCCGTGGCTGTAGCCCCATGATGCTTTCTGCACAGCCAGGAGCCTGCCCAGCCTGGGAGGTGAGGGCAAGTGCGAGGGCTAGGGTGGGAAGATAGTCTGCTTAACCACCCACTGCCGCTGCTGACCATGGCCCCTGGAGTTGCGGGCACGGCCGCCCTTTTCTTTGCAGCCAGCAGAGCAAGTAAGTTTTGCCCCCTTGTATTGGGCTGGGGAAGATTTTGTCAAAACCCTTGAAAGTCCTGGTGAGAGTAGCCTTAGCCTTCGGTGGAAGTTTCAAGAAGGATGAACTGACCAGTCTGTTCTCTCCAAGGGGGCAGATTGCTTTCTCTTCTTTTCACAGTTGCCATTTGTGATGCTGCTCAAGCGCTCTTGGTCTGCTGCAGCGTCCTGAAATAGTTAGTGGCCAGAGTCCCCATCTGTCTCTGGCCTTCTCTCCTCCCAGCCGTGCTTCTGACCCGGCTGCTTCCCGTGCCCCCTGCAGTCATGCTGTGCACCTTCCTTCCTGTGTGAGCTGCCCAGGGCCTCCTGTTGCGCTGCCTGCTGGAGAGGAGCTCAGACACTTTTTTTGTATTTGAGAATCTGAGAAAGCGCCTCACGTGTGCACCTGAGAGGCGTGGCCAGGCCCGGGCCCTGTGCCACTTGGGCGGATCAGCCAGGCTGCTTTGCTCAGAAACCTTTCACTCACCTGTGGAGTATATGACAGAATAAGTATCTGGCCTGGAATCATGGTCTTACCTGATTTCGTGAAGGGACAGGATGGTGAGAAAAAAAAGTTGGGCAACAGGATAAAAACCACACACAAACCTTGAGTGACTGTGGTTTCTTTTCTGTCCCGTTAACTACAAAGAGCAGCGCCGGTGAATACCTTGATGAAGTGCCTGGCTTCATCCTGTGCATTTTATACATGTCTGTTCATTTAAGCCACATGACAGCAGCATGTTTTAAGGAAAAGAAAACTAGAATTTTGTTCCTGTACCTGAAAGAATGAAACCACCCAAACCAACTAAGTCATTGTACCACCTTCCTCCAAGCTGATAGGGGCCTTATCTAAGAACCAAATCAGACAGAAACTTGAGTTCACTTCAAAGCTCTGCCCATACACCTTACCTAGTGCTGGTTCAGGGGATCTACAGGACAGAGCAGCGAAAGGGAGTGTGACCTGCCCCACAGCCACTCCTTTGCTGATGTCCTCCTGGGGGAGCAGGGTCCTGATGAGGGGACTACTGTGTGTCCAGGAATCCAGATGGTGAGGAGGGGCCCTCAGTGGTAGGGGTGGAAGGCGGATGACTCACAGCTACGACAGAAAGGCAGACACTGTGGCAGGGGTGGGGGGGGGGAGCTGAAGCTTTGGTCATATAAGGGGAGCTCACATACACACACAAATCACACAATCAAGGTGGCCTGGAACGAATAGATTTGGGTAAGATTTATTGATCAGATTGTTTTAGAAAACTGACAGCAAAACACTGACAAGGTACATAAATACAGATTGGACATTTTAGGGTATTCACTATATCTCCTACTTGCTGGTAGGAAACCAGGTGCGGTGGAGAAGCTGTCCCGATCATATGGCATGCACACCAGACTGCAAAAGGACGTCCACACTATTTAATAGGACTGTGGCAAATAGCTTTAAAGTAAGGCAAGCATCGTGTGTGGCCTAAGCATACCCTGTACCAAGAGCCCAGCCCAGTCTCGCCCCTCAGACTGCATGTGAGAGAGGTTTCCCTTTCTTGCTTAGGTTCTTCCAGCAAAATCCTCATTGGCAGGTGTCTTACAGGGAGATGCCTGGAACTGTCCCTGCTCAGACTCTGTGTACAAGGAAGTGCTTTTGAGAAAGACAGTTTGTCTCTGATGCCTCCTTTGTATTCTAAATGTGCAACTAGGAAAACAGCAATTACTACAGCTTGGTGAAACTGCCTCTGACTCACCCTGTACACTGACTAAGCAGGGCCTTTAAAAAACGTCTAAAATGTGGGAAAAAAAAAAAAAAAGCGATCACGAGAATGATACCAAAAAGCTGGTACCACTTCTGAAGCACAACTCAGAATTTCTTTTCATAACACCAGACTAAAGAAGAAGTTGCTTTCTGCTGAATCTAACAGGCTGGGAAGGGAAACGCTGCAGGGCTGGGCATGCTCCAGGGCGACGTGCAGGGAGACTACGGACTCCAGCCCGCCCACCGCAGGCCCTGCCAGCACTCCTAGAATCTCGGAGTATTTGGGAAACCAAAGGAATTGATGCTAATATAACCAGTTTGGGGGAGTTTAATGCTCACAGGACCATAAATTCTGCCCCCCCCCCCAATCCTGGAGCTCATGGCAGAACAATGAAGAATCAGGCGAATGGCTTTGTGCTACAGCAGAATGCTGGCAGACAGACAGTTCAGTAACCTGTGCCACTTTCAAAACATCCGTAGGACCACAGAAAAACAAACTGGCTTTACAGAATGAAGACCAACAAAGTCTTAGAGGACAACCTCTCCCATATGCCAAGCTACATGGAGAGAAAAAGGTATTTCCAAAGGGAAAAGTCGGGCTCCTGCAAGAACAGAGGAAAAGCAAGTATTTGTCAAGAGCCAAAGAAATGTGTTGAAATGATGGGGTTTCCTCTGCGTCATACACAGCTTTTCTTCCCAGAGGCGCTAAGAGTTCTTTGGTGGTGGCAGGAAGGACAGCCTAGAACTCAGGGCCGGAGACTCTGCTGAAGCAGAAGAGCGGAGAGTAACGTCTACCCCATGGCTCCTCACTTCAGCTCTCAACAGTGGTCATCGGCGGACCAATTATTGCCACCGGGGCTGCGTGTATGTTTGCTGGTTACTTCGATCCTCCTCTTCCATTCCTAATTACTCATTAATCCCACACCACTGAAGAGGACGGGCTTATGGGAAAACAGGAGGGAGGAAGAACAACTGTAAATGAATCAATTGTTTGATAGAAAAATTGAAACACTGATTATTTATGGATTTCAATTATCTGTGCTTTACTCTCTTGCTACTCTGGATCACCAAAGGTCACTGTTAATACACCTTTGCGTAAGTGTTAATTTTTTTATTATACATTAAAATCTAGCTATGCAATCAATATGAATAGTCTAGAGCAAAATTTTATGTCATGTCACTAGGACCCTAAAATAAAAAAAAAAAAAAAAAAAAAAAAAGAAGATTCTGCCAGTGGGAAGGGTTTCAATTTGGCCCCTGAAGAAGAGCTAACATTTCAGTCTATTCTATGTTTGTTCATAGATTTTCCAGCATGTGAAAAATACTTCATTAAATGAAGAAAGCCTTGTTTTCATCATTTAGTAAAGCATTTAGTAAAGATAAATTAGTATATACATGGGAAAACTGATAGTATTAAATATTAGCTTTTAATTCTTCATTTAGGAAACTCCTTACAGGTAGACATCCTTGTTCCAGGGCGAAGGAACGTAGGGAGATAAGCAAACGTGAGCAAGTACAAAGATGATTGGGGAAAAAGTCTCAACTCTGAGAAACCCAAGGAACAGTAAGTCTTCAAGAACTTAAAATCCAGCTTTATCCAGAGTTGGCTGAAACCAGTCAATCACATCATAAATTTCTTGGTATAACTGGATTCTAAAGCACTGGCTTCCCCAAGACAGATACAAAAAAGTAGTCTACCTGTTTTCTAGCCACACCCTATATATAATCTGTATATATCCATATGTGATTCTATATATTGCACTTAAATTCATAGGACTGCAGTAGGATGGCTGGGAGTACCTCAAAGAGGCAGAGAAGCAGCAGGCGTAACATTTTCCTAAGTCAAGTAAGTGTCAGGAATTCAGAGTGCTGGTTATAGGTACACTAAATGCCTGGTGACCCCTTAGATAAAAGTCTCATCATCTACATTGAAGTCATCATACACACGGTCTCATTGGGCATCCAGAACACGTGCGCATGTGTGGCGTGACAGCACGCAGGGCTGGTCATACTCCCTCGTTTTCACTAGTGTTAGATTAAAACAAGGCGCTTTAGACCAAGGATGTGTACTTTTATGAAACCTTCACATGCCAGGTCTTGGATGTCAGGCCTCCAATGTCTACCTCAAAAAAGACTGCCCTTAGAAAAGATTTAAAACAAAAGGATGCCTCAAGTGTGGATTGGACCAGACTCATGTTCCCGCTCTTGCTGCAGCAGAACTGGACACCTGCTCATAGCCCAAGGACCACGGACATGTAAGCACCCAGGCTGAGCATTCCATCTTTGGTCCCCATATAGATCCATGACAAAGATCTGCTTGCCACCCTAGACAGCATGACTTTTTCAGTTCTGGGATCTCTCCATCGAGCATCTGGAGATCAAGCTGGAGTCATACAGCAAAATTTTGTTTTGAATAGAGCTGCTCAGACTGACGTGCTCTGGAAGGAGCCTTGCTGGAGCAAGCCCTGCAATGGGACCCAAACTCGAACAGCCTTCTTGGGGCGAGACAGGGTGGGCCCTCTGGAGGAGTTGCTCCTTAGGCTGCCTTTCTGCCATGCCCTCCCCCAAAAGGACCCAAACTCATAGATGGATGGTTATTACAGGTTTTGCAAAATCTAGGCTCCCTAAACTCAACCCAAAATGGACGGGTTGTTATAATAAAGCCTGGTAATTGGGAGTCCAGGTCTAGAGGCCGCAGTGTCTGTTTCTTTTCTAGAACTGAATATGGTGTGGTGACTTTTTAGTTATCATGCAGAGTTGGTTTTAAATCCACACATGAGCTAGAGATCACTCTGGGATGAAGGAAAAAGAAGAGTGACTTTAAAAGCTATGTGAAAAAGAGGCACTTAAAGGAAAAATATGTCCTAAATCTCCTGTCTGGGTCTCCTGTCATGAGGTAGCCAGCAGGACAACCAGTACTGTGCCCTCTTGTCTGCCTCCAGCGCCTCCCATGCACCCCAGGACATCCAAGGGCTGGCATCTTAGTGACGTGCTCAACTACTCTGGCAGCCTGATGGCAAAGCAAGTAAACATTTCAGTCATTTCTCCTTCAGAATTAGAACAAACCTAACTAGAACTAAAATTTCACAGCAAAAAGGTGATACTCAGTTTTATTCCTTTCTCAGGCTAGTTTCTAAAATGATATACCAAGTTCTTCAGGAAGGATGGCCTGTGGCTTTTTCTCCAAGACTTTTTTATTTGATTACTAGAAGTTATCACAGCACATCCACATGAAAGCAGATAGAAAATGCGGCAATAAGCTAAGAGAAAAATCAAGGGCAAGGTGGCTTTCTAGTGACAAAACCCGCTGCCTGAGAAAATGGCAGATGCATGGCCCAGAGTTAGGAAAGAAACAAGTACTGAAATGGAAATGGCTGACATGAGATCAAAGCTCAGAGCCCAGAGCAGAAGCCAAGCTAACAGACCCAGAGGGCACATGCCTTCTCTGCCCTGCTCCTCCCTGACTTCTCACGAGCTTATGCGTATGCCCCATGACACTACACCACACATTTAGGGTACATGATTCCCCAAGAAGAAGTCAAAGAGATACTTGAAGCCAGCAATAAGTGTAAGAGAACTTCAAAACTGCCAGAATGAAAAACTTTGACCACCAGAAGTTTCTTGATTTGAAGTGTACTCGGTGTCATAATTTCTAAGAGCAACAATAAAAAGCACAACTACAACACACACACACGTCTTTTGACAAGCCAACTCTAACCTTGCTGGCACCGTGGGGAAAGAAATCACTAATCAGGAGCTGCTGTGCTGCTTGACTTTCCTCCAAAGGCAGGGGACTGCAAGATGTCCACCATCACTGCCAGTGGGTTCAGCTACTCAGTTTGATGCACTCTGAGAACAGTTAAACATCTGTTTACATAACCTGCAGAAGTCTCAAGGTTAGCCTTCTTGTTCTAGCCCCAAAATTTCTGGATTAAAAATTATTTTATTTTTATTTTTGTTGTTAATGTTGTTTTACTCTGCAGAGCAATGGCTGACATGATCATATGTTCAGAGTCCCTTTACAAAATTCTTTCTCTTAACTTGATTCATAACATTATTAAGATACTTTCAGACTTTCCCTCAACTCCATCAAGGAAGAAGGGTAGTGAGTATGTGTATTGGGGCAAGAGGGAGAGAAGCAAAGAAAGAAGCACAAGAGAAAGTGAGATTTCCATAAACTTAAAACCAATTTACAGAAAGGCATCTGATGTATTTTCTGAATAAGGCCTTGATCAGGGTAACCAATCCTCTTTGTAGCACATTCTATACTGCCCATAAATAAAGGAGTCTCTTTAAATTAACATTTCCAGTATTAATGAACAGTCCAGAAATCCTCATTTCAAGCGCTCGATGAGTCCCTGTGTGAGTCCAAGGTGCAGAAGCTGTGTTCGGGAGAGGTTTGCCAGGTTAGGGAAGGCCGCAAGCAGCTTCTCCCATGCCAGTTCCAGCAGGCTAGGTACCACCAGCCAGATCTTAAACAATGACCCAGTCCGTTTGTTTTCGTGGATGTTCACCACTCCTCCATGAATGTACATGCAACCGGCCTGTGAACAGATGGCAATCAAAAGAGGACAAATTCAAAGGGGAGAGAGAAACAGGTTCTTAAGCTAAGGACTCAGCAAAAAGATGCACAGCAGGTTGAATTGAGATGAGGTGCAACTAAACAGTTCTCAATGATCCCATCAGCGTACAGAGATTAAAAAGGGTTTAAACAACAATGAGTTACTAAAGGGAAATTTTTTTATTTTTTTTACTTCACCAAACACTAAGACTAAATGAAGTATCTGTTGTGCCAAATACTGACAACACAAAGATGGAAATAAAGTCCTTTGCCTTCAAGAAACTAGTGGAATCTCCGATAATATGGCATCCTGGGGGTTAAACTGTCCTGGCCTCCGGGAAGAAGCTTTGCTATCACTAGCAGAGCCTGAGTGCTACATGCAGCAATTCTCTGACATCTGCGCTGCCCTTTTATTTTTATTTTTTTTTTTTTAAAATATTTATTTATTTATTTATACAAGCACTGGGTACAGTCAGAAGCGCGGGAGGGTGAGAGAATTCACCAGAGCCAGAGCGGGGAACAGAGCAGGCAGAAGGACCGAAGCACACTGGTGAGGGGAGCAGCGGGAGGCAGGAGAGGTCCATGCGCCATGTGGGACCCTCCTCCGGTGGCCGGGGAGCAGCCGGGGATCAAGCTGGCGCTGCAGAGGCTGCAGGCAGCTTCGCAACCCAGCGCTCAGCCGCTGCGCCACCGAGGAGGCCCTGCGCTGCCCTTTTAAACTTGTCTACAAGAGTTTCTTTCCCCTTTTCTCAGAGCAAGGGTTAGCTTTGAAAGGAAGTTTTAAAAACACATTCTTAATCCAAAGTTTGCTATTACAGAATCTTTTTTTCTTGCTAACATCCCAAACAACATCTTCAATATCAGATACAGTCGTGGACAGAAAGATATGAAAATAAAAACTTACTGGTGTCACAGCCGCACAGTGGAAATAAACAGGCTCTGGCATGGTAGCTGGGAGCTTCACCCACTGGAAAGTCTGTAGATTCAGCTTCCAGATATCCCCAAGGATCACTTCTCCATTATAGCCCCCACAAATAAACACATCTATCAAGAAAAGAGAGCGCCAAGGTCACACAAGGGAAAAGAGTCACAGCTACCGCACGTTATTAGCGGATTACGGGGCCAGCTCAGTGGGTCTCCCTAAGCCACAGAGGACAAGAGCGGGTGGTGCTCCATGCTGCCGTCTCATCCCTTGGTTTGTTTAGAATCTTTGCTAGATCCCAAGAGGCAAGTCTCTCTGGAGGCTTCATGTCTAGATTCTCAAATTTAAATAGCAACAGATGCCACGCATATATGGAAAGTGAGTAATAACGAGGTCTGGGGAAAGTGAACAAATAGGAGATGTGGGGGAACAAACAGGGGTGCACAAGCTCTAAAGGGGGAGATGGAAGTGCAGCTCCCACTAATGGACACCATGCAGACTGAACAGCAGCAACTACCAGGTTTTCCAATATTTCAAGAGAAGCTGGAAATCTGGATTTTGAAAAAAGTGACACATTTTCATTTTTAAGTGTTTGCCACTAATTCAAAAAATTTCCACACACATATGAGCCAAACAAAATACAAATCTGCAGACCTCCAGCTTGCGAAACTTTTAAATAATGTCCTGGAAAGGGTAGATATTTATCTGCCCATAGAGACAAATATCTCCTATGTCCATTTAACCTGAAGAGAAACATGCCCTGCAATACTCAGTTTGGGATTATAAGAGGCTCTTCACCTTTCTTCAACCAAAAAGATGGCAGACTGCAGACTCAGTTCTTAATGAGGGGAACAAAATGACCCCCAAATCAAAGGGTGTGTTTGCTTGTTTTTTGTAAATTAAATTTGTTGTAACTAATTAGACAACTTGTAATCAAGGCTTTGTGACCCTCCAATAAAATGGCCAGAACTAAGATTTCCATGTGTTGGTACCTGGTCTCAAAAGCATCAACTGAATAGACGTCTTAATTCAAGTCTAGATCAAACTTAAGCCAAAACTTACTTAAACTACAAAATACACTGAAAGTTTTAAAAACATTCTTAATCCGAAGTTTGCTATTACAGAATCTTTTTTTCTTGCTAACATCTTTAACAACATCTTCATAATAGATACAGTCGTGGACAGAAAGATATGAAAATAAAAACTAGGGGGGCTAGGGTTCAAGTACAGTTCCATTCTCAATTGAGGGAAACCAACACAATGCCATTACCCGTAAGTTTTAGGCAAAAAAGCAGAAACATAAGACCCTCGTGCTAGTCATGGCAGCACATTCTACTTAAATCTGAACTAAGCTGCAGAAAGGATACAGCATATCAAACTCATTTACATACACCTTCCTCCCAGGAAAAACTGAAGGTGGTATATCAAACTATAAAATAAGCTGTAAATTAAGAGACAGATTATCCAGAGGAGTCATTTATCGCAGTAAAGCAGCTGTACCTGCTTTCTTAAGTCATACAATGCCTTTGTTGTAATATGAACAAAGATTGAGTTAAGAGTTCTATTTGGCATCAGACAGGGAACAGAATAAACTTTATGAAATAATACTCTGATGGAGTTACTACAGTTTTAATACACTGTCCACCATGGTCTGTATTGTATGACATCGGCTGAGGATGGGGCTGAAAGATTAAGCTTATTTATTGACAATCTTTGAGTTCTCTGGTGACTGAAGGAACCCAAACACCATACTGGTGTGCTTTGGGAAAACTGCTGAAACAGGTGTAACTTCAAAGATTTCCTTTTAAGCTTATATGACAAGAAATAGACTCTTCCCTAAGTTATGCCTCACCTAAAAAGCCATCATTAAGAAATAAGACTCTTTCAGCATGCACACTTACAAAAATGGAACAAGAACAATATTGAGAATCCTTACCATTTTTAATTTGAACACAACTGTGGCATCTTCGGGCTGCAGGAAAACCTGCCGAACACACAAACGTGGAAATTCCATCATTCACAGAAAGACCAGGGATAACGTTAGCATGACATGGTGAAAGACATAGTAAGAGGAATCCCATCAAGACAGTCCCTTTGTTGCATTAAATAAACATTAATTAGTCTTTCTAATCCCATTTCATACCAAAATAAAGTCATAAGTCTCCCAATAATTGTACAATGTTAAGGTGACAGGAAAACAAAATGGGATGGTGGGGGGCAGCGGTCACCAAGCCCTCTGACCCACAAAGAGACATGAGAATCCTGATTAAGGGCCTATTCTTACCCCACGCATATTTCCCTGCTTCCACAGAATTCAACACCTCCAACAAAAGTGCTCAATTGCTGATGAAGAATAGTAACTGCACTAGGTATACAAGAGCAGTTATCATTTACTTATACAATTTAATAAAATTACTTTTTCCCTTCTAAAACAAGGGAAAGTAGAAAATACATTTAAAGATAAATGAATATTTTAAATTTACCTATTTTTTCATGGGGTTTTGTTGCGATTTCCTCCCAGGCATTCGTTTCAAGGTTGTATGCATGGATCTTAAAAAAAAAAAAAAACAAAAAAAAACACACACACCAAGAATCTTAGCATGCCTGAAAACTGAATTTTTAACAATAGCCTTATCCAACATATTTTTTTGGCTGAAAAGACTTCTTTTCCCTGATCCTTCCTAATCCTCATACAAGGCAAAAAATTAAATAAAGCAGTTCAAAAAGTTGTATATCTGTAACTTCCCCATTTCCTGCAATTGAACATGTATCAGTTTTATAATAGAAGAGAAGCGAGTGTGATAAGTGAATGCAGGAATGCAGTTTTGACAAAACTTAAAAAACACCATTAACAATCCAACGCAGACCAGGAGCTCTGCAGCCTTAACTAGAATTCCCATGACATGTGGGTTTAGAAATGGCACAGGGATGGATAAATAAAAGCCCTTCAGAGCTCAGCTTTCTAAAGTTAATGACATGTAGCCCTAAACATGCCTGTTCTTTTAGATACACGGCACTGACGATAAGAGGGACGTGACATTCTGAGAATCCTGGTTCCAATTCTAATTAGTTGCTCCATTCAAGCTATTGTATCTTCTTACTAGTCACTTTCCTCACCTAGCTTACACAGCAGATAGTATCCGCAAAGTAGTTTCAGTGCATGGTAAGTGCAACTGGAAAGCATACTGGGGTGCCGAATTTGGCTTTATATTATAAAGAGTTAACTCAAACAAAGATGTTGATGAAAAACCTGCTCAAAAATTAAATAATCTGAGTAACAGAATTATCTTGCTTGGTATGAAATATGCCCCTCTCTAGCCTTCTCTCTCTCTCTTTGAAATATACCTTGTTCAAGGAATACGCTGTCCAGGAAGTACCACCTCCCAAGATGTAAATCCTCTGCCCATCATGTGCGATTTCATGTCTGTATCTGAAAATATACAATGAAATCCACTTACAATTAATTGAAAAATGATCTACTTAAGACTGAGTTGCAAGGCTTTTTATTACACCATTATAATAAATTACTATTGGTTAAACTATTATAGAAAATACATGAAATGGGTTAGTATGCAACCAGTAAGAATATAGGCCTAGAGGATGATTAATATATTGAGAATTAACTGGAAAGAAAAAGAACAAACCAGCTATGTATGAGCAGATAAGACTATAGCCCCTCCCCCCATTTAGAGATACAATTATACATAGACAGGACTACAAAGATACATCTAAAAGGTTAACCACGGTTACCTTTGGGTTTATATTTTATATTTTCATTTTGCTTATTTGTATTTTCTACAATTTTTTCGGTGATAACTTTGTATAAGAGTGGAAATTATTAGTCTTAAAAAGTTATCTGCCTACATTGAATTAGAAGCCCTAGACTAAGGGCTTTCAAATTAAGATACTTCTTTAACAGATACAAAGATATCAGAAAAATTATGCTACATCGAACTGTGAATATAATGTGAAACACCTACCAGAACTTTTATCCAAGCAGTCTAGCTAGAGGCTGAAACAATTTATAATATGTCCATAAAATGATTCAAAGGCAACCATGTGAAAATGCTTTGAAAACTTAATCTATTTCCTCCTTTCCCTGAAGGCCCTGGTGCTGATAAAATAAATTACATCAAAATTATTCCAGTAACAGTCCATCACCCAAGTCCTCTCCTGGTAGTTCTGTAGTAATCAGCCCACTAACATCCCACAAGAAAGATAAATTCTTCTTGAGCACCTACACACCCTTTTGCTTAACAGCAACAAAGAGATATTAGATTAGTCTAACCAGAGTAAATAAAAACTATTTTACTTTTAATTTTTAAAACTGGATGTGAAAAAATCTCTTTAAGCCTTTCAGTGAGCTTAATTCTAAGATGAGGGGGAAAAGTGACGGTTTAAGACTGCTGCTAGAAGGTAACTCAGAGAGAAAAACACATGATGTTTGAATATTTAACCAGAGCACTTAAAATGTGCGCCCTCCCTTACCCCTTCCTTTCTTCTTTCCTACCTCCCTTCCCTCCAATTGACATCACTGAGTACCACTACGGGCATGGCACTATGCCCTGTCATGGAAATCTATCTGTGAGCAAACAAGCCAAAGAATACTAATATATGCAAGTTAAGAAGGAAAATCAAAAACTAAAAAGTAATGTTTTGCCTATAATATGAAATTTAATTACAATTGCTATTATTGGTTCCCCTTCAAAGTGTTATCTTACTAATGCAGAAAAACTTAACTACAAGAGGGACATGAAAAGCATTCCATTATGGTTTAGAAAATTCTCTGATCAGGAGACCCTTCTTTAATCTGAACTGAGATCTAACAGCCAGTTTGCTATTCTGATCAGGCCAACAGGTTTTCTTCAAACCCTATTGCCAACATTCTGAAAAACGTTAAATCTTAGCAAGAAAGAATAAATATGCTTTAATCCTAGAAACTTACCTCTCTTCTGGTAGATCACAGGAAAGGTTGTTTGGTTTCAGTTGTGTCCACTCTCTGGTATTGAGATCTAACTTGTGCAGATCTGTGCTGTAAATATAGCCAGTTGTTCCTCCAAAGACATAAAGGGAGCCATTGATGATCGCCATGGCCTGAAGAGTGAGGAAAGAGGAAAAACACTTGCTCATTGACACCTTGTTAAAGACTGTAATCTTACTAGATACCCAAAACCAGGTTTCCTGAAATTCTCTTGTACTTTTCAACCTTCTAAAATAGATGACTTATAGAAAAGGAAGCCTTTCCTCGACTGGAAAGCAAGTTCTACCTAGAAAGGCCTACAGGCTCCAAGTCAACCAAAGAATTTGTAGATCATGAGCATTTCCATTGAAAGTTACTTCTGGTTTTAAGTAGTCTGAAGAAAAAGGTTCTTATGAAGAAGGAACAGATATGAAAATAGGTTACCAGAATCCCTTAAGAAGTCTAGTCTAGAATTGGCAGTCCTGAAAACTGGGCATTTTCCACCAGACTCTTCTTCCATGTGTAATCAGCTATTGTTATGGTCATCAGTTGGAATTTAAATGCCCCCTGGGGTCGGGTTAGCTGGTCTGTGAGTTAGCTGGTCTGTGAGAGTGTCAGTCTCTACATGTAGCTCAGCAGCCTTTCAGAATTATTGAGATTTAATGCCAGCTAGTTAAGAAGCCAAAGCGTGGTTGTTTTAAGACGAGCCCATTTCTCTCAAAGGGTCTTTGACGTATGGTGGTTTGCTCTCTATTGGTTCTAATTTTTCGAACCTAAAGTTTTAAGCACTGAAACCCAACTGAAAATTAATTTCTACATTTTCTGTGTCTTACTTCAGGCCCGTACGAAAGTCTCTTAGCCATCTAAAACTCTGTTACTTAGGTCAGAAAGCTCTTCAAAGAATCAGATCACTCCAAAAATGACAGGAACCAGGAAATATGTAGTCCACTCTCTGGAGGTGGGAGTGGGGGGAGAGTGTGGTCTGACATTTAAAGAAACTTCCTTACAGGTTTAGATCATGATCCTAAATTGGATTAGAAACAAAGATGAGGGGAGAAAAAGGAAGGGAAAAAGCAAGCAACTAGATTTCTAAATTGAAATTTTACATCGGAACTGAAAAATCAAATACTAACCACAGCAAATTGATTCTCCATTAAAAAAAAAAAAAATGATAGTAATAAGTATTCTGACGTCCCCTAGAAAAAATTTGAACAAATACATCCACCATGACCGGCCACAGATTGGTACCTGTCCATATATACGACTGGGTTTCTTCCCCCGACAGCTGAGTAAAGCCCATCTCTTATACTTCACATTACAGACGTGGACGTCATTGCCGTTGCTCTCACCAAATGGGATGCCCGTACCTCCAAACACTAGTAGGTTGTTTCCATGAAGCACAACTGGGGAAGGAGAAGCACAAATTCCATTTACCTACTGGCTACCTGCAGTGTGTTCCTATGTAAACCTAGAACAGCTGAAAAACGACAAAATGTCTGCTTTAGTGTGCTCAGGAAATAGTTCAAACCAATGACAGCTAATTATACAAAGTTTTGCAAGAAAAGGTATAATTCACATTATATGAACTATACATCACACAGTTCATTGTTAGGTATGTGAGATGTTGTCAAGGTATTTGTGGAATTCATGAAATACTATGTATAACAACACTGAATGGGATGAACTACAGGACACCCCTACCACTTAAGACAGGTCAAGCATGCAGGAAAGCTGAGGAAAATGAAGTATCACCTTTGCCTTAGCAAAGAACAGTGAAACTGAGGATGAAGGGATAAAAGGATCATTTTGTTTTTGTCAGAGGAATGATCTCTACATTTCAAATTATGATTTCTGTCATCTTAATCCTCTACCAGATAAAAGGAAATGCCAATAGGCTAGAAGTTGGTGTTCTCTTTATCTCTTCAGTTCCTGCCAACACACGCATGCACACGCGCGCGCGCACACACACACAAAGAGAGAGAGAGAGAGAGAGAGAGAGAGAGAGAGAGAGGCATGCATGAGCTTTCTATCTCTCTCAAAACAGTGCTACTGTATTATTTGAAAGGCATTTTTTAACAATTCTTCAATTGATACAATTAACTCCAGGAAAAGTTTTTTAATCTCTCTAAATTAATCTTCACAACCGTGAGATAGGAACTATTACTATCTTGTCTGTTTTACAGATGATGAAACAAAAGTGGAAAGTGGTTTAAATAACTTGTTGAAGATTTCCTGGAAAGAACCTTGCAAAACTAGAATTCAGTCCCAGGTAGTGTTAGTTTCTTAGTCATTAGCCTGAGGGCCTATCCAAAGCCTTAGTTTTCTTGTTTGTACAGTGCCAAGAATTCCAGTACCTGCATCACAGGAAAGTCATGAGGATTAAACAGATACTATGTGTGAACTGGCATCTGCTCAACAGCTATTATCATCATTATAAACCCCATTTGTTGATCTACTGCATTTTGCCTAGTCTGTATATACAGTACCTTATACTGAACCCTCTGAGGTATTATTAATTCCATTTATCTGGCAAGTAAATGGTAGAAAGCTATATTTAAACTCAGGACTATCCAACCCCCAAGTGACTCTCAATCACTGTGCAAGATTACTACCATAGTAAAAAGTGTATCCATTAACAGGGTTTAATCATACTATAGTACTACGGTCACGCACTGTGTAATGACATATGGTCAGTGATGGAACGTATACACAATGGCAGTGGTCCCCAACAGAATGTAGGTGTGCAGCAGGCAATGCCATCAGATTTGTGGAAGTGCACTCCATGATGTTCTCTGAGTGAAACTGCCTAAGATCACATTTCTCAGACCTGTCCCTATTGTTAAGCAATACAGGACTATATTAAAAATTACTAACAAAAAAACATGACATTGAACCTGACCTATCAAACGTTTCATAAAGTCAGAAGTTCAGAACTGCCTTCACTCACGTGACATAGATGCCAGTTCCCGGGGCATGTAGCCATCTGTGCCCATCTGATGCCATACTCCTGTAGCAAAATGATACCTCCAAAGCTCCCTGAAGAGGGGGTAGTCTTCATTATCTGGCCCTCCAGATTCATCATAATCTGGGTTATAACCTCCAAAGACATACAGATTGGTATTATCTGCCACACAACGATGTCCACTTCGTGCTGGTGGAGGTCTGTGGCCTAGGAGAGAAGAGGACAGTTTTCCATAGATGGCCCAGTAGGATAAAAAGCACAAAAAAAATTTGGTAACAATCATTTTAGCCTTAAAGGGGGATAAGGGAAGATTTATAAGACAGATGTAACTTTTATTTGCTTAGGTTATTTAAGATTTTTAGGAGCTAGCTTCTATTTCTAGTTCATAGGATTACTTTCAGATTTTGATAGCTATAAAGAGATTTTCTCAAAGGTGGCAAATAGCATTAAAAACTCAAGAAATGGCTGGTAATTTGGAATTTGCAAGAAAAGGAGGAGGAGGGGTTTAATAAGCCAAAAGCTAAAAGGACAAATTTTCTTAGAGGAGGAAAAAACACAGGCCAACTAAATTAAACTGAAAATATTAACTACATAAATATAATCACAAATGTGAATGAGTCACGTATAAATAAAAATACACATACATAAAACCTATGGTTTCTTCACAGTATATAATTATATACTTAAAAAGAAAACTGGATTTCAAAGAGTTATAGTAAAATTTAGAATTTAAATACCACTCCAGACATTATGGCAGTTAACAAAGAATATCCTTATATTATCTCAAAGAGTATCTTTCATACTCTTAAGAGCTTTATTAAGAAAAGCTAATTCCACAATTTATACTTGAAAGCTTTCTGAAGTTTAAATTACATCAATTAGCTCACTAATAGTATTTCAGGATTATTTTAGAGTAAAAAGACTATATTATTTTGATTATCCTTGCATATTTTTTTTTTTACACCAGAACAAACCCTTATAATGCTACAGAACCAAAGATGCTTAAACATATATTGGATGGAATAAGAAGCTACTATAGTTGTCTGTTCCCCTAAGGACTTATCTACTTTCATGAGTTAGGAATAGATACTAGTATGTTATTTAATATTTAAAAAATGCTGGGTGCCTAATAAACGTGTTAAACAAATAAACATTTATTACCTACCTAACATAGGCTTTATATATATTTATCCTTCCTAATCAAAATCCCACTTTCTAAGGGTATCCTTTAAACAAGTACTGAAAAGCAATCACATAGATCTAGAGTAACTAAAAAAACAGGGAATAACTGAATCATTCCAAGTCCAACTCGTCAGTCCTGTTCGAGAGCTTTTCATGGTTCCTTACTGCTCAAGTATGAAGTCCTCAAAGCCAGCAATTTAGTCTTTTATGACATGGCCTGTTACGGTTTCTCATACCCTGCTGGCTTAAGTTTGTATCTGGCTGGAAAGCCAAGTGCTTCTCTTAAGACTTGGCCTGGCCTACCTACCCTTGAACGCCTAGTTTTATAAGTGCCTCCAAGTCTAGCCCATGTAGTTCTGCCTCATCAATAAAGACCTGGGGCCCTTAGAGTTCAGTACCATACTACTCAAATATTAGGATATGCATATTAATAAAATCATTACACTGTGACTATGTAAATACATGAATATTCGGCAAACTATGATCAGTTAGAAAACTTACTATTAGGCTGTGTTTACCTCAAGTGAAGAACTCAATCTCTCTCTCTAGGAGTCTTGAAATACACAAAGCATGGTGTAAAAGAGTGAGCATGGGCTCTGAGAAATATCAAGATTTGAATCTGACCTTCCTTATCTATATAAGGGAATATCATTACTGTAAGTCACAGACTTAACTATACTTGTTTATTATGTTCAGATGCTTAGTGGTACATGTAAAAAATCCTTCCAGTATGTGAGATATTTGAGGAAAGAGGTATATATATTTGTATTCACCAAGATTAAAGCACAAAGAAAACATCAAACAAATTTACAAATTCCATTTTTTCTCTACTCATTTCATCAACATTTGCTTTTCTTCTCCAAATAGATTATAAGCTCCTCGAGGCAAAGATCATATATAACAATTACCCTGTATCACCTATAACACCTAAAGCAGTTGGAAATCTGGTATTGGCAGTTTTGTTTATTTTAACTTCAGGTCAAAGGAAACGGTGGCAAGAATGATAAAAACTGTACAGCTCTCAGTGGACTTTGGTATTATTATGCTTAAGAGAGATATGATTTCAAGTACAGGGGTTGCATTATGCAATGGTCTTCTCAAAACAAAAGTGCTTCTAAGATTAGCAAGACAAATTAAAAACATGACAGAGTGGCATGGCCAATAGACAAGAATGCTATGAATCTCTATACTGTCATTGCTTTATTTTCTAGAGCCAACAGATAATTTTTAAAACTACTTTTGCGCAAATATTAAAAGAAGTATAGTATATTCTAGGATTGTCTCTAACTGGCTATACAGCAGAGAATATAGTCCATAAATTTATTGCCAAACATTTTTTTGTGACAAATATAGCTCACACATGTGTTGAAGGTTGAAGAATCAGGGAAAATGGTTTTATATTTATCCACTATTTCATTCATCACTGGATACCTGCTATCTACCAGGTACTGTGCTAGGTGGTGGGAATACAATGGTAACACCATTACTATCTCTGTCCTCTGGAGCTTATAAATCTAGTCCTGCTTTGTCCAATGCAGTAGTTACTAGCCACAGACTACTGAACACTTGAAATGAGGCTGGTCCAACTTCGGATATGTTTTAAATGTAAAATACTCATTGGATTTCAAAGACTTAATATCAAAAAATGAATGTAAAAAATTACTCATTTTTATATTGGACATGTGTTGAAATAATCTTTTTTACATCTTGGGCTCAGTAAAAATATTAAAATTAATGTCAGCTATCTTACTTTTAATTTTAATTTTGCGGTTCATGTAATATTCCTATCGGATAGCACTGGTCTATCTCAATTGTTGGCTTCTGTAAATAATTTCATTACCTATGCAAATTAAACTGCTGGGTACAGAGCATCTGATCAATGTTTGATAAATATTAAACATCCTGCCAAGGAATCTGATAGCTGGGAGTAAAGAGGTAATTCTTCTTTCTCTTTAGTCAGTAACTACAGATTTCTTTGTAAATATTTATAGCCCAAGAGTGACTAACATATTAGAAAGCCAAATTTTATCTTGAATAAATCATGGGAATTTGTCAGAGCTAATGCCATGGAGATTAAGGATTAATTTTCATTATGTGGGATATAGCGTAGGATCAACCACCTTGACCAAAATGAAATTGAGTTTTAGAGTCTTAAAACAGTTCTGATTCCTCCCCCTGAATTACTCATGTAAAATCCCCACTCTCCTAAAAATTATTTGATACTAATAAAATCACCCACAGAATCGGGTTACCTGATTTAGGAACTTGCATTAGAAAATGTAGACATCAAAAATTAAAACTGAGAGGTGAGCTGTTAAGACCCAGAAGGGAGCACCAAGCTGAGGGAGTGTGTGTATCTGTGATGTCTGAGCCACCTTCTCCTCCCCTTGCTCACCATGTCACAAACACTTGCTCTTTACCCCAGGGAGTCAGCAGGTGCTGAAGGTAACCAGGGAAATGTGCTTTAGTTTCTACTAGCCCAAATGCAGAAAGACGTTAGCTGTCTGAGAGGAGGTGACAGATGATTAGGTGGCTGCCAATGATTTCACTCTCACAAAGCTTCCCGTTTTCATATTCAATTGTATGAGTATTTCAGGAAATAGAATTTCTGGGTTAAAAGAACATACACTTTAAATTGTTATAGAGGTAATACTGATATAGTCCTATTGCTCTCTGGAAGACTAGAACAATTTATACTCCCAGCAGTGGTGTATGGCAGTGCCTATTCAAGCCCTCTTCAACCTTTTTAATTTGCGCCAATTTGATGGGTGCAGAGTGATGCCAACTTAATTTTCGGTTCCCTAATTTTTTTTTACCAGTTCACATGTTTCCAGGCTTTGCATTTCTTCTTGGGAAAGCACATGATCATATCCTTTGCCACTTCTCTTTTGGGTTGTCTCTTCAGAGATTTGTATAAATTATTTCTTTCTTCTAGGCTATTTGTCTTTGTTTATGGTAATTTTTAACAAATGGAAATTTTTGTGTAATATGACTCAATCTTTTAAGGTTCTTCTGATCTACATCTTGTTTATCTCTGCATCTTTACAAAATTATAAAAATATTCTTACAGTTTTTATTTTTATATTTGGAACTTGAATATATATGTGCATTGTATTTGGCAGGGTCCCAGTTTTTCCCCCCCAAAACAGATAGTCTATTGTCCCCAAACTACTTAGGAAAAGTCATCCCTTCTACACTGAATTAAAATACCACCTTTATCATATACTAAATCGACACGTTCTAGAGTATAATTAGGAAAATCCCAATAACCATGTCTAATCACTTTGGACCAAAATATATTGCTCTTTAAGAATATACAAAATCGGGCCTCCCCGGTGGCACAGCGGTTGAGCGCTGGGTTGCGAAGCTACCCGCAGCCTCTGCAGCACCGGTTCAATCCCCGGCCACTGGGTGAGGGTCCCACATGGCGCGCAGACCTCTCCTGCCACCCGCAGCTCCCCTCAGCAGTGTATATCATCAAGTCTGCCTGTTCTGTTCCCCGCTCTGGTGAATTTTCTCACCCTCCCGTGCTTCTGACTGTACCCAGTGCTTGTATAAATAAATAAATAAATCTTTAAAAAAAAAAAAGAATACACAAAATCAATTTATAATAGTATCACATCATCTTAAATTCAAAAGTCTGCAAACAAAGTAGCACATAATATTTACTGCTTACTAAGATGTAGTACCTCTGGATGTGCTATCAAACACTGCAGGGAAGTGACTTAAAAAATAAAACCCTTTATTCCTAAAAGTATTAACTAATTATAAATACCAAATAGCCTAAAGAATAAAATCAGTTTTATTTAAATAGTTACTTCTTTCCAAATATAAAACCCACCATTACCTCTACCTGAGAAGACTGAGCAGCTGGCTCTGGCCCTTGACCAGCAGGGAGACCTTTTCACTACTTCCAGAGTCTAAGCAGTTTGGGCAAAAGCAAACCATTCACACTAGCATGCAGTACTACTTCTCCAAAAGCAGGAATTCCAAACACTATATAATATGCATATATAGTGATTTGG